TATATATATATATATATATATAAAAGTTGATGAGTAGTATTTCGAATCAAAATGAGTCGAGCATGAACGAACAAATTTTTATGTGTTCGGCTCATTTATATATCCAATATAAAAAAGTGTTCGTGTTCGACTTGTTAACTTAAAAAATAAATTTAATACGCGTTATTCTCGAATAACGAACCATTTTGAAAGCCTAGATGGCATATTATCTATGCATGCTAAATTTTACATATAATACATTTTTTTTTCTGGATAAAGTACGATGAAGAGTGAATTTTTATGTGATTTATTCATTTATCTTTTTTAATTCTTATTTATTTAAAATAATTTTCCCGAAAATCCTCTTCGAGAACCATCCTTCATTTCTTAAATTTTATTTTTAAACCTAGTTTTTTTATTGATCCATATGCCAAAACCTGCTAAACCTTTTGTCATATTGGATTTCCCCGATTTTGACTTCATCTATTTAATTTGAAAATAGCTAAATTAAAATAATAAAAAAAATTATAGTGTGTACACATTTTTCAAAAAACAAAAAAAAGAGCATTTACATACATACCACACAAATCTTAGGTATTTACATCTCGCACCAGAACATTTATATTTACACACATAACTATTACATCTGTAATATCTCATGAAATTTAACAATATGATTACTTTTCTAAAGTAAAATACACAGATTTAAAACATCAAAATAATAAATATGAAATTTTAAATGTGAGAAATGTAAAATACATAAAAATGGTGTGGTAGGAAAGTAAATTTGCCTTGCGGTCCCTATCAAATAAATATCTATTAGATCAGGAAATGGATAAGGATGAAGGTTATCTTTGAAAATTGTCAAAACGTCTTTATCCTACCAGATATTTTTTATTGCATCTTATATTGGTGGTATCGCCGAATAACTAACGGGGTCTAGCTTTTATTATACCATCGGTTTTCTTTATTTTCTTTTTCAAAAATAATTAAAAAAATTAAATAACAATATCAACGGCATTAATAGCCCAATATATATTTTACTGAAAGATTTACATACGTATTTACTAATTTTTACCTATATGTTATCTTATATATGCATGAAAAGACGTGTTGCAATTTCTATAGTTAATGTTGGGATATTTTTAGTGAGTTATGAAATATTTGGATAGTATAAATGTAAAAAATAAAGTAGGTGTTTCTCATTATTCGGCATGAATCTTAAGGGGTGACATGGATCTCGAGACAATCTTTTAAGCAAGAAATGTTCAAATATTGGTAAAAATTCATCGGAAACTTCGATTTCAACAAACTTATAGTCAAACTGACCGGCTCTATCTGAGTCAAATCAAGCTCATCCATCAAAACACTTTTGGAATATTTTTCGACGCATTTGGAAAGCCAAATGGGTGTTAAATTCGGCGAGCTTATAGTCGAATCGAGCGTCTTGACAAAAAGAATCCAACGAGCCAAGATTGCTCAATTCTAATATCATTAAAGCACTTATATATTCATCAAACACCGTGGTCAAAAGAATCTATCCGGACCGTCCGATTGAAGCGTTCATGTATGCATTAATTGCATCCACTACAGAGCTCACCCCTCTCATGACGGGGGAGAAGAGCTTGAGACTTAAGAAAGAATTTAAAGCTTTGAGAAAGAACTGAAATCCAACACAACTTCTGCCGCCTTCAATCATCGTTGACCATCGTCGACCGCCCTCGACCACCACCTGCTAAGCTTCACTGATCGTCATCAGCTGCCGCACACTTCTTACAACAAGTTTATTTGCACGTCAACATTGTAATTCAGAACACTATGTAGCCTTTTTCCCCTCTGTGGGACAAGGGGTCTCTTTGATCGTCAACTATCGTCGTGGATCATCGTCGACCGCCCTCGACCACCACCTGCTGGCCTCCACTGATCGTCATCAGCTGTCGTACACTTCTTACAACAAGTTTATTTGCACGTCAACGTTGTAATTCAGAATACTATGTAGCCCTTTTCCCCTCTGTGGGACAAGGGGTCTCTTTGATCGTCAACTTATAACAGATTTTTACAACATAGTCAGATCTTGTGATTTTTTCCCTTTACGAGTTTTCCACGAAAAAACTTTTCGTGTCACTACTAGCTATTTTCTTTTATCTGTGTGTGTTGAAATCTCGTGCAACACAAAGACGATAATGCACTACTCTACCACCCCAAATTTTCTAGCGCAGACCACATAAAATGTTCATTCAATCATCATAATTTCTCTAGCACACGATAAGCTTTATGTAATAGTTTTATATATGAGTAATGTGATTTTTTCCCTTTACGAGTTTTCCACGTAAAACCTTTTCGTGTCACTACTAGCTTTTTTTTTATCTGTGTGTGTTGAAATCTCGTGCAATACAAAGACGGTAATGCACTACTCTACCACCCCAAATTTTCTAGCACAGACCACATAAAAGTGTTCATTCAATCATTCTAATTTCTCTAGCACACAATAAGCTTTATGTAATAGTTTTATATAAGAGTATCGTTGTAATGGAATTTGACCTTAGCTTTTAGTTCATTGAAATTATTGCATGTATTTTGATGTGCAATATCATCAACGCTAAATCACAAAAAAAATCATTTAATTAAGCTCTAAACTTCTTATAATAATTGAGTTTTAAATTTTTAGAATTACATTTAAGATTATTTAAACTGTGCATTACATGCTTACAATGCATATGGGTATCTTAACAAAAGATATACAATGTAACCTAAGACTATTTCACCTTGATCCTATCAAGTCATTTAAATGCCAAAATAATGAACTATGTAGTCAAAACAAAGCTAAAATTAATACAACATTATTCTATAAACCTGTAAATAGGACCCAATCTATCTTAAGAAAAATGATTTTGAACTAAATTTTTAAGAGTGCTTTAAAATCCGTAATTTTACAGCTTCACCATTGATTATATACACTGCAATCAATGTTGTGTGACTATAAACTCTGTGACTAAAACAATTCCGTGTGTATATTCAGTGACTATTTGGACATTACTCTAAATATTTTTTTATGTAGCGATCAATTTAAAATTAAAATTAATATAACATTGAATCTCACACGTATATTAATATAGCACAAAACTAGCTAAAAATCTATCAAAAGAGCGCTCATTTCTTGTTATATTTTGCATCAAATATATACACATATTATTAATTTTTTGGTACTTGAAATAAGTAGTTCTTAACCTTAGGATAATAGAATGCAATTCAAATTAGTTTTTCCAACCATAACTTATGCACAGAGCGACTTAAATAGTTTCAAGATTTCAGGAGAAGCCCATATTAAGGGTCTGTTTGGGGCAGCTTGTGCGTTTCAGGATAAGTTGTTTATCCTGAAACGTGGCCCACGGGCCAGCTGCAGGGGTCGACCCGTGACCTGCGATTAGTGTAAAAACCCAAATAAAGTTTCGGATAAGTTGATGAAACGCCCAAACCAAACAGTACGGTGTCGTTTTGAAAATGCCGCCCGTACTTATAAGCTGCCCCAAACGGACCTGTGTTGCTTTCTCATCTGATTATGTAGTTAGTGAAATATTGATAAGTAAATTACTTTTAAAAAGTAATTTTAAGGCCCATTATAAAATGGGCAAAGCTTCGAAGTTAGTCCGAGAATTATTCATGGGCTTTTGTCAGCAATTAAATACAATAAACTTAAGGGAGTGGGTTTTTAAACAGCACATGAAATGTTAGAGCTAACTCACATTAAACAAACAAATACTCAAAACCGAAGGACCTAACCGCAAAACTTCCCTCCCGCCTATAAAATCCCTCCGCTAGCTCGAAGTCCACATTTCCCATTTGAACTTTCCCTGTTTCGTTTTTTTTTTTTTACTTCGTCTCTGCAGAGGGAAATCCCAATCCGAGCGACATGGAGACGGTGGATGAACCAGTGGAGGAGTACAACTGGAGGGAGGTGTTGCTTCCTCATCTGATTCCGGTGGCGCAATCGCCGGAGCTGGAGCGGGAGCCGGTCGGAGAGCGGCGGCGAGGACGTGACATCCTGATCGCCATAGATCATAACCCTAATAGCCGGCACGCCTTCGATTGGGTGCTCGCTCATCTATGTCGCCTCGCTGATACGATCCATCTCGTTCACGCCGTCTCGAGTTAGTTATTTTGGTTTTTTTTTTCTTTTCTTTTAAATTGCTTTAGGGTTTCAGTTTGATTGCCGATTGCCATGTTGTGCTTATAGGTTACATTCCATTTTGAAGATGTGTTTGAGCGGTTGAAATTTGAGTTCATGGAAAAGGAATTAAGGTTGAAAAGATAAATGGATTGAGAATCAACTAGTCGATTCTTGAAATTTTCTATCATTTTGCTGTCAAATCAAACAAAACCTAAACTGAAATTAAGAGTTATTAGTTACAATTTCATGAAATATTGTCTAAAAAAGCTATGATAGTTTTTTTATAAGAATTAATAGATTAGATTTAGAGCCAGATAATATTAATTATTGAGGTGATATATTATTAAATTTTATTTTCATTGGACTAAGTTGATGCTGTAAGTAATCTGATAGATTTTTAAATTTATGAATGCAGATGTGCATAATGAAATGGTGTATGAGAAGAGCCGGGAGCTGATGGAGCAGCTGGCGGTGGAGGCCCTACAAACTGTTCTGGTGAGAAACGATTTAATATCTTAACCTTATAAATATTAGTTTTGCTTGATGAAATGCAACTTTTCAGTTGATACAAAGACAGAAATGATATGATGAATCGTAAATTTTGATGAAATTTTTTAGATCCCAAAACTTTCAGTTATGTGAGCGAAATGTTTCAAAATCGGTTCTAAGATAATCTGAACTCTAGTTTTAGTAAGTATGTGGTTGAAATAGTGTGGCTGAGGCAAATCTAATGATGCCAATAGTGCATGAGCTCAAATAACCCTACATTAAACACTTATATGGTTGAGATTTCACTAGTTCGTTTGGGTGACCTAATGATCTTTAAATAATGTGTTTGTAATTGAAATAATCACTGATACAAGTCCAAGATTATTCAATTTTGAGTTTGTTAAGACGCTGTGATATGTATTAAATATTAAATGATTAAGAGGCCTCTAGTTTATTGCTTGATCTCGCTTGACCTCTGACATTCCTCATCTTTTAGGAGATTGAGCGATAAATGGAGCTACTCTTCTAATTTACTTAACCTATAAATCCTCTTTAGCATCAAATTAATCTTCAAATTAACTTTGTTTGGCTTAACCTAACTCAGTCTAGACTGCTTAACCCAATTCAATTGACTCATTAATTCATGATGGCTTAATTGACAAAAGCCAAATTCAAAACCATTGGGTCAGAAACAAACTTAACTTACCCTAACATTTAGCTAGCTACTCGGACATAATTATAGTTTGTTTGATTGTAATCTGATTCGAGCACTCACACTGTCTAGTCAGGTTTATTTAACACAAACTTAGCCTTAATTGATTAAACCATGAGATTTCCAATAACTCAACCTATACCCTGGATGGTTAATTAGAAGATGATAGGACACAATTCTTATGTATTTACATATGTCACACATAAACTTTTTCCTCTGCACACATAACACTCAAACCTTTAATATCAAATTAAAAATTGCACTATTACCACTTTTTAAAAAGTCAAATTAACATTTTCATGCCTAGGTTTAAAACACCAAAGTGTTATGTATGTAAATATAAAGTTTCAGGTATGAGATATATAAATACATAATAATTGTATTCTATGTATATAAATTCCCTCTAATTAAAGTTTTCAATTTGGAAAGAGGAGCAATTAAAGTTAAACTCAACTCATCATGCCCTCAAACCTAACCCATAGTAGTTCCTAAGATATGGTCCAGGACTAAGGAGGCTAATCCAACTGAAACACCCAAAAGCTCTTACCATTATCGCCGGAAGAGACTTCCCTTGAATTATTTACATAAACAGTTTTCTCTAGATAGCTAATTTCAATTAATCTTTATATGCAATTTTTCTTTTAATTTAATATCATATAATAAACTGGTAACATCAACCAAGTATTCTATCCTTCTAGAAGTTTTTAAAAATTTGTCAATTTAATAGATTTCTATTTTTTTTTTAAATGGGAGTTTTCTAGCTGCACCATCAGCAAATCTAGTTGAAAAAATTAGTTATGACATAAATTATAATGGATTGTGTGGGTTAGTAGTTAATGTTAGCTCTACTATTTAAAAGGAAATTTAAGTACATACCATACAATTCTTATATATTTATATATCTAATGCCCAAAGTTTGATATATACTGTACACATGAAAATATGTTCACACGAATCTCAAAGCAGATGGGTGACCTAGGAATGAAGAACAACCAATTGTACGCACAATAGACGACTCTTTCAGATAAGTAGTGACGAAGAATACACCTAGGCCGAACAAATTCTCTGGCAAATGAGTGCAAGACTTTTGTAAAGTCAAGGGATCAACCTTAAGTTTGCTTCCGTTTACCACTCTCAAACAAACGGCTAGGCGGAGGCCGCAAACAAAATTATTTTAAATTTGCTTAGAAAAAAGTGGAAAGAGCAAAGGGCAATTGGACATACTTGATCCATTCTGTAATCTGGGCAATCAGAACGATGCCATTGACGTTCACCAGACGGACCCCATTTATGTTATCTCACGGAATGAAGGTCATGTTTTCGGTCGAATACAACAACCACAACCAGAGGGTGCTCTTCGTTAGGGGTGTAAACGAGCCGAACTCGAGCAAACCCAGGCTCAGCTCGTGTTCCGCTCGTTGATATTTCAAGCTCAAAAGTGTGTTCGTATTCGGCTCGTTCGCTTAGCGAACCGAACACGAGTTGTTCACGAAGAAAAAGTCGTTTTGACAACCCTAATCACGTAGCATAAGATGTTAAGTTTTGGGGGAAAAGTTTTGTGGTAAAATTTATAAATTATTGTTTATATTAAAACATCATTTGAATCTAATTTAGTAATGTTTATTCCCTTTTCTTAATTAATGCTTTTAATTGATTATAAATCTTTGTAGCCTTGTAGTCAATTTAAATTTTTAAAAATACTACTCATCAAAGATATATATATATAATTGATTAGCAGTATTTCGAGCCAAAACGAGCCGAACACGA